CTCACTCTCTCTCACTCTCTCTCACTCTGTCTCTCTGTCTCTCTCTCCCTCTCTCCCGCTCTCCCTCTCTCCCTCTCTCCGTCTCTCCCTCTCTCCGTCTCTCCGTCTCTCCCTCTCTCCCTCTCTCGGTCTCTCCCTCTCCCTCTCGTTCTCCCTCACTCTCTCTCACTCTCTCTCATTCTCTCTCACTCTGTCTCTCTGTCTCTCTCTCCCTCTCTCCCGCTCTCCCTCTCTCCCTCTCTCCGTCTCTCCGTCTCTCCCTCTCTCCCTCTCTCGGTCTCTCCCTCTCCCTCTCGTTCTCCCTCACTCTCTCTCACTCTCTCTCATTCTCTCTCACTCTGTCTCTCTGTCTCTCTCTCCCTCTCTCCCGCTCTCCCTCTCTCCCTCTCTCCGTCTCTCCGTCTCTCCCTCTCTCCCTCTCTCGGTCTCTCCCTCTCCCTCTCGTTCTCCCTCACTCTCTCTCACTCTCTCTCATTCTCTCTCACTCTGTCTCTCTGTCTCTCTCTCCCTCTCTCCCGCTCTCCCTCTCTCCCTCTCTCCGTCTCTCCGTCTCTCCCTCTCTCCCTCTCTCGGTCTCTCCCTCTCCCTCTCGTTCTCCCTCACTCTCTCTCACTCTCTCTCATTCTCTCTCACTCTGTCTCTCTGTCTCTCTCTCCCTCTCTCCCGCTCTCCCTCTCTCCCTCTCTCCGTCTCTCCGTCTCTCCCTCTCTCCCTCTCTCGGTCTCTCCCTCTCCCTCTCGTTCTCCCTCACTCTCTCTCACTCTCTCTCATTCTCTCTCACTCTGTCTCTCTGTCTCTCTCTCCCTCTCTCCCGCTCTCCCTCTCTCCCTCTCTCCGTCTCTCCGTCTCTCCCTCTCTCCCTCTCTCGGTCTCTCCCTCTCCCTCTCGTTCTCCCTCACTCTCTCTCACTCTCTCTCATTCTCTCTCACTCTGTCTCTCTGTCTCTCTCTCCCTCTCTCCCGCTCTCCCTCTCTCCCTCTCTCCGTCTCTCCGTCTCTCCCTCTCTCCCTCTCTCGGTCTCTCCCTCTCCCTCTCGTTCTCCCTCACTCTCTCTCACTCTCTCTCATTCTCTCTCACTCTGTCTCTCTGTCTCTCTCTCCCTCTCTCCCGCTCTCCCTCTCTCCCTCTCTCCGTCTCTCCGTCTCTCCCTCTCTCCCTCTCTCGGTCTCTCCCTCTCCCTCTCGTTCTCCCTCACTCTCTCTCACTCTCTCTCATTCTCTCTCACTCTGTCTCTCTGTCTCTCTCTCCCTCTCTCCCGCTCTCCCTCTCTCCCTCTCTCCGTCTCTCCGTCTCTCCCTCTCTCCCTCTCTCGGTCTCTCCCTCTCCCTCTCGTTCTCCCTCACTCTCTCTCACTCTCTCTCATTCTCTCTCACTCTGTCTCTCTGTCTCTCTCTCCCTCTCTCCCGCTCTCCCTCTCTCCCTCTCTCCGTCTCTCCGTCTCTCCCTCTCTCCCTCTCTCGGTCTCTCCCTCTCCCTCTCGTTCTCCCTCACTCTCTCTCACTCTCTCTCATTCTCTCTCACTCTGTCTCTCTGTCTCTCTCTCCCTCTCTCCCGCTCTCCCTCTCTCCCTCTCTCCGTCTCTCCGTCTCTCCCTCTCTCCCTCTCTCGGTCTCTCCCTCTCCCTCTCGTTCTCCCTCACTCTCTCTCACTCTCTCTCATTCTCTCTCACTCTGTCTCTCTGTCTCTCTCTCCCTCTCTCCCGCTCTCCCTCTCTCCCTCTCTCCGTCTCTCCGTCTCTCCCTCTCTCCCTCTCTCGGTCTCTCCCTCTCCCTCTCGTTCTCCCTCACTCTCTCTCACTCTCTCTCATTCTCTCTCACTCTGTCTCTCTGTCTCTCTCTCCCTCTCTCCCGCTCTCCCTCTCTCCCTCTCTCCGTCTCTCCGTCTCTCCCTCTCTCCCTCTCTCGGTCTCTCCCTCTCCCTCTCGTTCTCCCTCACTCTCTCTCACTCTCTCTCATTCTCTCTCACTCTGTCTCTCTGTCTCTCTCTCCCTCTCTCCCGCTCTCCCTCTCTCCCTCTCTCCGTCTCTCCGTCTCTCCCTCTCTCCCTCTCTCGGTCTCTCCCTCTCCCTCTCGTTCTCCCTCACTCTCTCTCACTCTCTCTCATTCTCTCTCACTCTGTCTCTCTGTCTCTCTCTCCCTCTCTCCCGCTCTCCCTCTCTCCCTCTCTCCGTCTCTCCGTCTCTCCCTCTCTCCCTCTCTCGGTCTCTCCCTCTCCCTCTCGTTCTCCCTCACTCTCTCTCACTCTCTCTCATTCTCTCTCACTCTGTCTCTCTGTCTCTCTCTCCCTCTCTCCCGCTCTCCCTCTCTCCCTCTCTCCGTCTCTCCGTCTCTCCCTCTCTCCCTCTCTCGGTCTCTCCCTCTCCCTCTCGTTCTCCCTCACTCTCTCTCACTCTCTCTCATTCTCTCTCACTCTGTCTCTCTGTCTCTCTCTCCCTCTCTCCCGCTCTCCCTCTCTCCCTCTCTCCGTCTCTCCGTCTCTCCCTCTCTCCCTCTCTCGGTCTCTCCCTCTCCCTCTCGTTCTCCCTCACTCTCTCTCACTCTCTCTCATTCTCTCTCACTCTGTCTCTCTGTCTCTCTCTCCCTCTCTCCCGCTCTCCCTCTCTCCCTCTCTCCGTCTCTCCGTCTCTCCCTCTCTCCCTCTCTCGGTCTCTCCCTCTCCCTCTCGTTCTCCCTCACTCTCTCTCACTCTCTCTCATTCTCTCTCACTCTGTCTCTCTGTCTCTCTCTCCCTCTCTCCCGCTCTCCCTCTCTCCCTCTCTCCGTCTCTCCGTCTCTCCCTCTCTCCCTCTCTCGGTCTCTCCCTCTCCCTCTCGTTCTCCCTCACTCTCTCTCACTCTCTCTCATTCTCTCTCACTCTGTCTCTCTGTCTCTCTCTCCCTCTCTCCCGCTCTCCCTCTCTCCCTCTCTCCGTCTCTCCGTCTCTCCCTCTCTCCCTCTCTCCGTCTCTCCCTTACCCTCTCGTTCTCTCTCACTCTCTCTCACTCTCTCTCATTCTCCCTCACTCTCTCTCAATCTCTCTCATTCTCTCTC